ATGTATAATACTAACCCAAGTATAGCTGCAGAGATCAGAGCACTTAAGGCAATAACATTTGACGGATAATTGTCCAGAAGCACAGTATACATCGCAACAACAAACAAGGTGAAATTTGTCAATATTTAAATCAAAAAGAAGAATATAAGTATTATACGTTAACTGATAAAAAACGTATACAATCCATCCGATTATTATTCGAATTATCCAATTACGTAGCCTATGGTATTCCTTTGGCGTTCCGAGAACTTCCAACGTGTGGTCTACTATAGCAAGTTCACGTAAACATGTTTTCAATTCCTTTAAAAAAATCATATTGATCGATTATGCGGCACAAAGAAATTATTGTAATTTTATATTAGAGTAGTAAAAATTGTTATTGCAATGTTTACACGGAATGTGACAGATAAAGAGTAACATTATAATAATGTAAGCATTAAAATTGATCTGTTAAAAAAAACTTTTTTTTAAATTTAATTTAGTTTATTGCAAAACGCTATGGAAAAGATTACATGCTAACAAAGCAACAAACATAAATATAAAATATGTTAGATAAGACTGTAGTAACTTGCAAATGCGGTTAGGCGTCAGCAAATCTGCTATTACAAAGCCTTCCAGCAACAAAAAACCGCGACTAAGCAACGATAAATGAGTGGTGAAACAATAGTTAAAATCATATACATACTCACGCATACACCCACGCAAGCACCTACATATACCAATTAAGTCAGTCTGGTTTAAATACTGTGAGTAACGCGATGAATGGGAAGGATAAGTAATTTTGATACCTAGTTACAAGGGGTTAAAAGTGAAATGAAGCTCAGCGTTTAATTGAAGGAGGTGTCGCAGATATAAGGGAGCATTGGAGTAAAGAAGAGGAAAAACTAGACAGCGTAGGTGGAGAATAAAATGTTGCCACATTCTAAGCCAGCCGAATCTCTGGTAATACGGAGATATATGGTCGTGTTTACTGACGCCATAAGAGAAGCTGAGGTAAGAAATTTGGATACGCTGTACACGATCTAGGAGTTGTTGATTAAGAGCCGGAACGTAGACATCGGCCAAATCAAATAGCGAAATAACGCTTAAATGAGAAGTGAGGAGTTTCTGAGAGCAGTAAAGGATGTGGCGAAGGGGATAAAGAAGATAAAATATACAAGCGTATGCAGCCTGTCACACTTGACGGCCACGTGTGACGAATATGAAGATTCAACATGGATACCAAGAATCTCAATAGAGGTCGAGCGAGGAATTGGAACGGAATTAAGAAAAATATGGAAGGATTAAATATGAGATAATAATGTTGAGGAACAGAAAATAAGCAAGGATGATTTAGAGTTTAGAGGGATTTAGATGCAGCGAATTATTAGTAGAGACCATTCGGCAATAGATTATAACGGCGAAATTCAGCTGGATATTAGGGGTTTGCGCTGGGTGCTATCTTGCACAAAAATTAATTGTGAATAACAATTTAAATTTGTACGTTTCGGCTCACGTTTTGAGCCAGCCTCAGCAATAACAGTTACCGCTAATCGCACTAAATATTATGTCGAACTCTGTATCGCAAAATC